TAATGATAATGGTATAAAAAATAAGACTATAAATTTAGAAAATATGTTGTGTGATTACTTACATCATTGAACAGCCATTCACCTGGCTTCAAGATGATCCGGAAGAAGTCCTTCCTCCAATCTCCAAAACCGCACTCAATCAGCTCAGAGTCTGTACTAGAATCAGCGAACCACTTGTTAAAGGCCTCAACAACATCGTTAAAGGTCCACATCTGCTTTCTCACGTTACGCAGGGGATCTGTGTAAGGCGACTCAAAATACTTGCTGGACCTTTTAAGTCGCTTTTCATTCTTCGATTCAGACTCTGGCTCTGAATGAACCTGTTGCTCAAGTTGATCCTCAGGCTCTGGCTGAACCTGTGGCTCATGTTGTTCCTCAGGCTCAGGCCGAACCTGTGGCTCATGTTGTTCCTCAGGCTCAAGCTGAACCTGAGGCTCAAGTTCTGCCTCAGGCTCAAGCTGAACCTGTGGCTCAAGTTCTGCCTCAGGCTCTGGCTAAACCTGTAGCTCAAGTTCTTCCTCTGGCATTGGCTTTGTCTGTAATTGTTGTTTCGCTAGACATGTTATATTGTCCATAATTTCTCTAACATATTGGTCTAGCGAGTCTAGCCTCTTGTTGATGGCTTCAAAATGTCTACTATTATACTCTACCATCCTGTGATAGAGTATGTCAACTATGTAATCAATAGACATACCATCCTGCGGACGGGGTTGTTGTTGTTGCTATTGTTGTTGTTGTTGTTGCTCAGGTTGTTGTTGTTGTTGCTCAGGTTGTTGTTGTTGTTGTTGGGGAAGTTACTGTTGTTGTTGGGGAAGTAGTTAGAGACGAGCCAATTGTTTGGGAGGCTTCGGTTGCTGTACATGGACCATTCTTGCACCAGAGTCCAAAAACGATGCAAGCTCGTCAATCTCAGAATCTTCTTAGTCCGCATAAGGCTGATACAACCTCATGCACATACTATTCATTTCCTCCTCAGTGGGATAAAGAATTGGTACGGCCATTCCATGTATATTAAAAGAACATACATTCAATGATTATTTA